CCTGTTCATTCGCAAAGTACGGTTGCCCGTACCTTGCTTGCGCTGCTATAGGCCATATATTTCTGCGATCGTTGTGATTAAGGATGTTTCCCATCAGGTCGTTTGGGTGATCCTCAGATCTGCGTAGCAAAAGGTCCTCTTGGACTTCCGGCGTGAGTAGAAGCGCATGGTTGACTGCCGCTGTGCGTAGTGTTATGTCTGCCTCCCAGTTAACCATTCGCCCTGCGCTTCTTAGCACCGCGTAGGGTAGGCAGTTTCCATCTCCGGTTACGCCTACGGGGATTAGTCTTAGCGTTGCCAGTAACGCTACGAACTCACCGGCCGGGTTGGTTATCAGGGTAGGTCCAATACTGAAGCCATCATCCGGGTTGGTTATCAGCGTCGGTCCAATACTGAAGCCATCATCATCCTCGCTCCCTGTTGGGGCTTGTGGATTTCTTGTAGCCTTCTTTCCTGCTGCGCGTGAGCCCGCTGCCTTGGGTGGGTGGGTTGTCCTTGTGTTTGGTGCCCCCGGTGATGTTACAACGAGATGACCGCTGGTCCCAGCACCCTGGGGGTGCGGAGAGCGGCCTGGCATTATCTGGGTGACTTGGATTCCTTTCTTTAAGATTTTCTTTACATCGTAGTCATTGATGGCAAGTCTAATAAAGTGCAGGCCGTGGTGGGCAGTAGGTTGGTTTCCTGCCTCCACCTGAAATCTATCTAGGACCGCCATGCGTCTGTTGTGTAATCTGTGGCTGCTCGATATCACCTCTTTCTGGATCAGCCCGTGCTTTATCTGGAAGGGTTGGCCTTGGTCGTCCTTCCAGCAGCCTTGGACGGAGTTTTTTCTGTCTTTATCTATGGTAATTTTTACCTCCTTGTCTATCTGCCCTGCATAGTAGTCTGGTCTAGCCATGACTGCAGTTGCAACGGCACGGGCTCCACCTCGGGAGATGTTGCTGTCTGTGGCTTCGTCCACTGCTGCCTCGATCGCCTGTTTGAGTGACACTCGTTCGGCTTGTGTCTGGGGGCATTCCCGGAATAGATGATTCTTGGTGTCTTTCCCTGGTCGTCGTACCCCCGCTGCAACGCACAGGGGGCACTTCGTGTTCATACGTGTGAGCTTTCCCCCAATATTCGCCGTGTACCAGTAGAATTTCCGGGTACTCTGCTGCGATCTCTGCGTTGTATCGTACCGAACCGGATATGCACCTTAGCATGAAGCGCGGAAGTTTCTCAGGCCATGTAGGATGGGCAAGCATATATTCCGATTCGCACTTCCAAAGTGCGGCTATGTTCCCTTTGATGCTATATTTTCCAGGTTTGTTGGGCATAAGTTCCTCAACCAGCTGTCTCCTAATGCGTGTTGCCACCGCTTTGCGGAGGTAAGACTCGTCAGCTCGTTGGATGTCCCCGTCTGGAGTCGTAACCATGTATTTTCCTGGGGTGAGGGCGGGTTTTTGTAGATGTTGACCGTCCGTTTTTCCGTGTATAGTGACCTGTTTGGCTCCCCAGTCGGCTAAGGCATTGAGCATTACGAGGTCATCCATATGTGGGTCCATTTCGGTCATTATCCTCCTGATCGTGTGTATGGTCTGGCCGTCTACCACGTATGTGTGGGTTGATTCGCTCCATGTGGGCTCAATACAGACTCGTTGCTTCTCCATTTCCTGGTCCAGGCCATGTGCCGATGTGTGTTCAATTTCTCGCGTGTGGTTGTTGCCTAGGGCCTGCTCAATGAGTGCTAGTGCTGTTGTCATGTGTGGATTTTGTTTATAGGCGTGAGAGCTCTCAGCGGTCATGCCGTGCGGTCTTGCGCGGCAGCGGGTGTTTGGGATTTGGTAGTGGGCTTCCTTGACCCCATTAAGGTGGTCTCATCCGATCTGTAGTCCCGTTTCCCCTTCGAGCCATTGTAGAGCGAGGGACAATCCGCTAATTTCCCCGTTGGCTACATCCTGTTCCCCGTCGAAGGTGCAGTAAACAATGTGCACCTCTTCTGTTTGTGGCTGTGCGACTTGGTTGGTAATCATGTAGGCACATGCTCCAGATGCCAAGTGGGTGCCATCCTTAAGGACTTTGTGAGATCCGTCAGCTGCAACCTGTATTTTCCGCGGCGTCTTAATAACGGGCAAATATACGCGGTTTGTTATTGAATGACGTGCCTTTAGGAAGGCATTAGTATATCTGGTGACGTACCGGAATCGGAGGGGCCCCTCGAGTTTGCTTCTAAGGAATGAGAGTCCGCATCCCCATACCCTGTCCGATCATGTTCAGTGATCCGGACTGTGAAGGAGGAATTTAGCCAGGAGGGCAGAGCAAGAGAGCTCACACAGCATGGTCACTTTGCTGAAGTCATCCCACAAACCGAACACGTCCAACCCGCCCAACCCGCCGAACCAACCCGCCTTCGCTGTCCTCCTCGCACATGCGGCACGAGCCGCCGCCCGCCTAACCCGCCGAACCAACCCACCTTCGCTGTCCTCCTCGCATATGCGGCACGAGCCACCGCCCAAGCCGACGCACGCGCCGCACGCGCCGCACGAGCCACCGCCCGTCCCGCACGAGCCGCCGCACGAGCCGCCGCACGTCCTCCACGAACGGCGCGAGCACGAGCCGCCGCCCGAGCCGCACGCGCCGCACGCGCCGCACGCGCCGCACGCGCCGCACGAGCCGCCGCCGCACGTGTCGCCGCATGCGCCGCCGCACGTGCCGCCGCACGCGCCGCCGCACGCACCGCCGCACGCGCCGCACGATCCGCACGAGCCGCCGCCCGTCACACCAGAGCCGCACGAGCCGCCGCACGAGCCGCTGCACGCGCTGTCCGAGCCGCCCGAGCCGCACGTCGTGATGGAACAGCGGTTTTGGCCGAGGGGAGACGCG